AAAGGTTGTGTTTCGGGAGCCGCTGCCATCGCAGCCGCAGGCCAGCAGCAGCCCTCCCCCTCAGCTGGTGTCTATGTATCATCACCTGGAGTCTGTCATCAACACTGCCTGCTATAACCTCTGGACAGGACTGTTATAGAGCTAATCCGTGTTGGACTTAAACTTCAGCGCATGTCTATGTGACCACAATCAACACATGGAAACAGGAAGCAACAGCAGAGGGAAACAAGAAGCTATTGAAGGAATTGACATCCGGAAAAATGTGCTCTCCCAGCAGCTACACTGTGTGCTGTGAAGCTTCAAGTGATGTTTTTGCATTCATGCAATGCCCTGTTAGTCCACAGGATGCATATAGCTGATGGGTTTTTTTTACAGGTGAAGAATTGATACCTAACGCCTACAGAAACCCACACACACCCAAACCCAGGAAACTGGTTGTCTGTCACTATTTGCTTGTGCGTTGCTCCCAGTCTTTTTCTTTTTTTTAAATGGTGTAGCCTTCCTGCATCAGTTGGCTTCACCCAGCCCCAAACCAGTGTTGGGGGGGAAAAAATCAGATTAAAAACAAAATGGCTCCTAACTTCTGTTGAGAAAACCTCCATTAGCTGCTTCAGTATCCATAATCCTCTGATATTACTTGCTTTTTACTATGCATTCATGTGCACATGATAACCCCGCATGTGTCCTGTACTCCTCAGTACATGTTCACAAGATGGAATTAAAAGATAAAGCGACAGTGTTAAATTGGGGTATGTGAAAATATTCCAGTGTTGGCCAGTGATGATCCCACCCTGATCTGCCTCACAGTGGATAAATGTTTTTATCCTCCAGGTATACAGTATGCAGCTGCAGCATGAACAATGCTACTCACACTGCAGCTGTGTGTCTGATATCATATATATATATATAGTATTAGGGCAATTTCATGTTTCTCTTAAGACGGTGCCATTTTTCTCTGCACGTATGAAGTGCAAAGTATTTATAAAACTAATATTTATAAGGCTGATTTGGGGAAAAACTGACTAGGGTTTCCTACAGTGTGCTATAGTGAGGAACAGCACCTCACCTAAATGAAAAAACACCTTTGCTCACATCATAGGAAATGGAAAGGAATTCAGTTCTAGGAAATTTGGCAGAACTGCTACATAAAGCTGGGCAGACAGTGTGTTTGCTTGTTCTTGTAACTGTGTTAACACTAGCTGCACGTAACAACCTTTGTGCACTTTGAGCGACCACAGTGTGGAGCTCACACTGAATACAACAACAACAAGTAAAATAAATCTCCAGGAAAATTGAATCAGGTTTATGTGGGGTCTTTTGACAGTAGTCAGGTAAAATATCAGATCATGGAGCAGCTCAAACAGCAGACATCTGATCGAAATGTCTGATCTGCCAGAAATTCAACCGATTATTCAATAGCCAGATTGTTCAGGCAATTAATCAGACGTCCTGACCTCTAACTGATGTAAATGACAACCTATTTGTCAGATCAATTTTCTCTGATTCTGAAAGTAGTCTGGGGAGGACCAGTCAGGGTTAAGTTGGGCTTGAACCCCACAGTGTCTGTCCAGCTTGAGACATCAAGTCCAGATATATAATGAACTGTTTGGTGGGATCTTTAGGATTTTCAAGAATCGGGTCAGTCTGAAGACCTCTAGCACAGAGCCTTTTTAGATTAAATTTATTAGTCTCGGATGTCGCATCATGAGCAAAATGCTTTGACGACCTGAAACTAGGTCCTGCATTACTGTGCTCTACCACATATTCTGACAACCTGGTGTTAAGAAAACATTTAGGTTTTTACCAGTCGATAAGACACTGCTGCCCTTCTTTCTCCTCATCTTTGACTGACCCTAAAAATAGAAAGAGAGTGAGAGACAGACACACACATAAGCAACCAACAGTGAACACTTCTGGCAATGTAACTGCTGTTTCATACTCCACAACTTCATTTATCAGTTATCTTTGATCTTGTGCCTTCTGATACATTTTGCTAGCTCTTCATACCACATCTCTGTGTGTGTGTGTGTGTGTGTGTGTGTGTGTGTGTGTGTGTGTGTGTGTGTGGGTGAGGACGGACAGCTGAGATGTCAGTATGCAGAGTGGGAAGACTTTAATGTTAGATTTTCACATGTCAAACTGGTTACTCACTTGAACCCCACTGCCGTATCTGGTGAAGTGCCTTTCTCTTTATTTTGTTTCCTCAAATTCCCAATTTTATGAAGTAATACGGTTGTCGTTCCATCAGCTCTGCATAGATCTTTGGAAACACACGCTCCTGAAGATATGCAGTGAAACTGAGTCAGTCTGGAGAATATGACAGAAATTGCCTTTCATAAGAAAGACAATGGGTCATATTACCTTTGATGATTTGCATAATAGGATGCCACATGTCATCACGCAGTGTGTTTCCAAAGCATGTTCAGGGTGATGAGTGACTTGTGGTATTTATTCTGAAACAGTGTGGCTGGTAATCAAAAACAAGAGGGCATGAAGCCAGCAAGATACAAGAGTGTGACATCACAACAAACATGAAGGCTTGATATTCATTGCAGTACCTTCATTAATGACCTCCTCAGCAGCCTTAGATTCCTACACATTTTTACTGTAAGGATACCAAATACGTGTTGGAGCTTCTTTGTGGATGTGAAATGAAGAAATGTTGAGCAAAGCTTTCTCTTTGCTGTGGAGAATTCAGTCTGTTACACACTGGATATTCATCATGCAAAATGTGAAGTGGAACAAGTTAGCCCTTAGCATTTTGACTGTAATATAAACACTGCACTGTTTCTAACTGTATGATGTATATTATGTATATACAGAACACTTTATACAGTATGTGAAATGATAAATAAAGCAGTAGGATGAATGAGAATGTGCTGAATCATTTTTAACACAAATACAAATTATTAGGATTTTTGTAAATTTAAGATGGACTACTTTCTTTGTTTATTGTTTGAGGGAAGTAAACCTACAATTAATGACTAAACTTGGAAAAATGTCAATGATCGCAACCTTCACAACTTAGATAAATAACACGCTACCAGCTTTGTTAGAGTCTGGATTTTTCAGATCAGCATGTTTTGTCTGCTAGCACTAAATATGTTTTGTTTTTCCCCCTAAGGGGAAACTTGTGTTGGGTTCATTTTTAATTAAAATATTAATTAGGAACAGTGGGCAGATATTGTGCAGTGCCCAGGGAGCAGTTAGGGGTTCAGGGCCTACTCAGTGGTCCGTGTTGGACTCGAGCCCAACTGCTTCTGTGATAGGACGCTTTACTGTAGACCCAGACTAAAGGGTCTTGCCAGAAGTGAGACTCGAACACACGCCTCCAGTGAAGACTGCAACCTGAATGCAGTGCGCTAAAACACTTTTCCATCCTGACACATGTTCTCTTTCTGTAAGTTTTGAGGGCTGAGTGGAGGGCAGTGGAGATGGCATCCTCTGTGCATCTGTTGGTTCTGAAAGCAAACTGGTGAGGGTCCAGGCTGGCTGGGATGTTGTTCTTTATGTGCTGAAGAATCAGTTTCTCAAAGCACTTCATCAGAATGGGGGCGAGTGCCACAGGGCTGAGACAGTGAGATGTTGAAAATGTCAGTAATAACATCAAGGTTTTTAGTATATGGCCAGGAATGTTATCAGGCCCAGCTGATTTACTCATATTCCCTCTCAGCAGGACTCAAGACTTTACAGCCGACTCTTTGTTGAGGAGACCAAAGCGAGCATAAAATATGAACTATTAAATACATTATTTATTATTTAAATGAAGGGCATGCATGTTCTCCCTGTGTCCACGTGGCTTTTTCTCCAGGTGTTCCAGCTTCCTCCCACAGTCCAAAGATTGACTCTAAATTGCCCTTGGATGTGAATGTGAGTGTGAATGTTTTTTTGTCTCCATGTGTCAGCTATGTGATGAACTGGTGACCTGTCCAGGTCTAGCAAGCCCAACTGTGAGCTGTGTGATATGAAAGTGAAGTAACAGATCAGGTCTGTTCAACCTAGGTTCTCTCACATATCATGAGTCATGTTAAAGAATAATGGTCTTTGAAGAAGACATTTTTGCATCTAGGATGCCATGAAACTGAACTCTACTATAACTGAGCGCTATTATATTTTAGTTTAATTCTAGAATTCACTAAACAGTACATATTAATGATGAATCTCCATGCATGCCAAAGTTCATGCATAAATACTAAGCTAACAATGTGGCACAGACATTTAAATAGCAGTATTAATGGCAGGATTTAGAGTTCATCATAGCACAGAGACAGCACTGGTGAAAATTACAAATGACCTAATTGCAACAGACGAAGGACTCGTCTCTGCACTTGTCTTGTTAGATCTTAGTGCTGCATTTGATACCATCATATCCTATTACAGACACTTGAACACTTAATTGGCATTACAGGAACCGCTCTAAGCTGTTTTTAGTTCCAATTTATCAGATCAATCTCGTTTGTACATGTTAACGATGAATCCTCCAGATTTCCAGAGTCAGAGTTCCAGAGTATTTGTGCTTGGTCCATTCCTTATATATGCTTCTTTTAGGCAATATTATCAGGAAACACCATAAATCCATCGTTATATCTATCGATCGAGCCAGATGTTACTAATCAGTTAGTTGAACTTCAAGTGTGCCTTCAAGATGTAAAAATCAGGATGACCTGTAATTTTCTCATGTTAAACTCAGATAAGACGGAAGTTATGGTACTGGGGCCCAAGCACCTCCGTGACGCATTATCTAAAGATAATAGTTACTCTGGATGGCATCGCCCTGGCCTCCAGCACTGAGTTATCTTTGATCAGGACATGTCGTTTAACTCCCACATCAAACAAATTTCAAGAAACAACCATTGTGATGTATTTCAGCCATTGTTCGATGGACGATGGCATCGTCTATCAGCCCAACCCTAACTGCAGTTAGTTCGTGCTGTTGTAGTGGACTGCATTACAGATGTACCTGATATGTCTTTCTTAACAAAATGTACATACTATTTACATCAAGTAGGCTTACATCAGGCTTTATTTGGTAGGATTGTACATGCTATTAAAGGAAAAAAATGTGTGTTTAAAAAATAGAAAGAATTTGTTCAAAGGTAAAAGAAAAATAGTGTTAGTGCCGGTAGAAGTTAACAAGTGTAACAGGACTGCCATTAAACAACATATTTGTGGTTGGACACCTGTGCTCATCACTTCCTGTGTGTGCAGTAATCTTTGATCCAACCCAGACCCTCCTTTGTGGAGCCTAAAGAGGACAGAGATGATTATTTACATTTATTTTGTCTAAATGGGTACCATAATGAATCAAATAAAAAGAGTCCTAACCTAGCGGCTTATATTCACAGCCAATGTATCCCTGGTAGTGGTGCTTTTCCAGTGTGTTTAACAGGTAGCTGTAGTTGAGCTCTCCGGCACTGTCAGGCTCATTCCTGCCTGGAACCTGAGCAATCTGCACATGACCTGAGAAAGACAACAACTTTTTTCCAGTATGGAGATGCTACAAATCGTTAGATCAGTTAGATTCTCCACAATTCAATCCTTCAGTTCAATTTATGGAAACAAAGTCTAATTCACTCAGATTTACCGGCATGATAAACAAGAGAAGAAAAAAGTGCCGGCTCACTACCTTTGAAGTGGCCGTAAAGGAATGTGTCTGTTCCTCAATTATTTATATGCCTTTAGTCTGTAAGGGTCCACCGATCAAAAGAATCAAAACTTTTCATAAAAATTCATTCAAGTTGTGAATACTGTCATGTGAAGTCCATCGCTCACTTTTTGTTAACTTCTGCCACTTTTCTCTGCATCCTGCACCATGTTGTTGGGTATGCTTGTTTTCGTTACCTTGCTGCCTACAAAATAAAAGTGCATAACCTGTCCGTCAGAGCTGGCTCAAATGAATAATGTGTAATTGATATAATCATTTTTATAGAAGAAATATTCATACTGTTTGACATAAACTGTTTTATTTATTATTATTAATTATTATTATTATTATTATCCTATTACAGTTTTGTGTGAAAGGAATTAAAGGCCTGTCCCGCATGGACACCTGTTCTAAATATAGGCAGGATCAATTCAATGATTTTAGCAAACAAAAGCCTGGGCAATTAATCAAGGTAATTAAATTTGCACAAGTGTATTCTTAGTAGCTATTTAGACGCACAATCGGGTACAGCTACTAAATGCGTGATGTTTGCACAAAGCCAAGCAGGTAGTTAAATTCTTGTTCCTCTAATGAGTCTTGCCAATCTAAATTTTGTGCAAACCAAAATGTCATTGTCAGATATCAAAGTTGGACCAAAAACCCCTCATGGGTTACTAATTTTATGAGATGGAGGGTGAGGCAACAGCCTCAGTCTCGTCACCAAGGCTGTAGTACAATATTTTCAACATTTTTATTTTATGATCAATGCCATTTTTCACAGCAAATGATACTGTAAAATTATTAGATTGCCATTCTGTATTGATTTAAGGTATATTAATATCTGTAATTGTAGGTTGTACTAATTGTACAACTTTTCAGTGTTTCTTCCATCTTTACTCACCAATTATGGGGAGATACTTGTGTATGTTTTGTGTCAGGTTTCCATCCATTATTTGCCAATGAAAGACATCCTGAAACAGTTCAGACATCTGTTAGAGCAAGAGCTTTATCAGATTTTTTTGCACTTTTATTTTCACGTTACAACACATTTCTGAAGTACCCACCATTTGCAGCTTGATATTAGGCTTTCCAACCTTCTCCAGTATTGCAGCCGCTACAGACACAAAAATGAAGATGAGCTGAGACGTAACTCGTGGCCAGACAGAAGGTGTGATTTGTTGAAGAGAAGTGGTAGCAATGAGACACCTTTCTCAAACACTGGTGTGCTCATACTGTTACAGCAACAAATCTGCTGAGCACACGATTACAACATGCCACACCTGGTTCTGTCTGAATCTTTTACATTTCAATTTGGAATCATGTAAAGCAGTTTCATTTTAGAATCAATTACAGCACTTACATCAATGGACTGATTACATAAATCTATTAGTGGTAGCAAAATGACTTATGGGCCATACTGTATGTCATGTAAAGGTTATAGCAGAAGCGGGAGAACATAATGACATCTTATTAGACATGTTTATTTTATCTCATTCAAAACACTCTCATCCAATATGGGGGAAAAAAGATCAAAAGTTAACTGTGACCAGAAATGACAGGAGGACGAAATGTGTTCTTTTACAGAAATTCCCACAGAATATGGTGAGAATGTTGCCACAAAATAGTCTAAACTTAAATCTTTCTTTGCTTATTAAAATTTTTGTTGGCTGGGATGTTGTTGGCTGGTAATGTGGCACTCCTCCACCAATCTCACACCCAATTAAATCGAACATCTTGGATGCATTAACATTTTTTTTGCAGGAATGTACTATGGATATAACAATTTAACTGTAAAGTTTATTTGAAATATTCTCCAGCAAAACTGGCTTTCACTTAAATCACTTCACTTAAATCACTTAATAGTCGATGGCTTCCATGTGCAGAGAGGAGTGTTAACTGATACTGAGATTCATTCTAGTGTGTAGTGAGTGGGGACAGCTCCCGGTGCTCAAATCAAGCCTCTACCACTCCAAGATGAACTCCAGATGTGTTTGTATTTATTTAATTGTTCAGCTTCATGGAACCAAAAGAGCTTTTATTTTAAAAACAATCGACAAGATTTGCAACCATTGGGTTGTTTGGGTTTGCAACCTTTGGGTTGGGTCCTTATTTGCCTGACTTTAACAGGGGCAGTAACCCAGCAGTGCACTGTTCCATGTCAGTGGTCAGGGGTCTTGTCTTGAGAGTTGTACATGCTGGTTAGGGACTGTGTCTTACCCTGATGAGGAGAGTCCAGAAAATACCTAGGATCTGTAATCCTTGTGTTGATTGGTTCAATCAAACCTGTGATTCCTTCCTGTGAGGAACAGTGACATTTCACAACATTCTGATAACACATCACATCAAATGGTGACAATTGTGCTCCAAACCAATTTTGGATTGTAGGACTAACTAATATGAAACATTTTAAACCTACATGAATACTACAGTATCCACGTACTGTAACAGAGAGAAATGCAACCAAAAAGATTAGATTACACTAACACATTGTATCTTGTTTGTTTAATTCGTACATAACAAATGATGATATTTACAGTATATGCTATTAACTTTCTTATTATCCTTATCATTTAAATACCATACCTATGGGACCTGATGGGTGTTAAAAATAATTTCTTAAACTCAAGCTTACTTGTTTTGTAACAAACTTTGTTTTGATTTTAGACAAAGTTATGTGGATATGCTTTTGCCAATTAAACAACTTTGTCATCCCTTAAAAATGTATTCAAATATTAAAATATTGTTTAACATTGTGTTCTGTTAATTCATATGCAGAAGTAATTTATTAACTGTATTTTATAGTTGGTACTCATGGATTTGTAGTGTATTGTAGTATTTACAGTCTCTTGTAGTATACTACATTCCTGTAAATGTAATTTGAATCTTCCATTTGTTTTAATCGTATGTATATCCTCTTTCTTTTCTTCCATTATATTTCTGCAGAAATTCAGTTTCACAACATGTACACAGCTGAGGATTTGTGTTATGTTTGACAGAAAAAGTCACTCACCTTTGAGAGGATATCTGCAGCATAGTTTAGGTTCTGTACAAACATAGCTTCCATCTCCTTGGCAACTGTTGTTCTGGGAGAGCCCACAGGAACCCTCCCTGCCATCAGGTGGATCCTGATAAATTCATGGCAAATACTTTATACCCAAAGAAGAAAAACTGCTTAATATCCCTTCTGAACTAAATTAACTCTTATGTAAAGTGTCCTCATCACAAAACACAAAAGCTCTGAGACAGCAATGTATATAAATTAGGGCTGTCAAATGATTAAAATTTTTAATCAAATTAATCAGAATTTTCAGTGGATTAATCACTATTTGCAATTACACCTGAATCCTAACCATTTTTTTTTCTGAAATGCATACCAAAAGATAAATAAAAAGACACAGATACATAATTTTCATATTATGTCCGTTTATTAACACAGCCAAATAATTGTTAATAATTGTTGTTATTCACTGATGTCCAATGGTCTCCTGTCAGGGCGATATGATTTACTTGAGCCAAGACCTCGTTTTGATAGAGCTCGTGGATTTTCGTCATAACTGTGGCTCTTGACGGTGGCCTATAGGATGAGTCTTGAGACGCCACTTTCAAAACATCAATGAAACCTGAGTCTTCTACAATACTAACGGGTCTACAATCCTTTGCAATCCATTTTGCTATTTTGTTGGTCAAATTATCTGAGGTTGATTTTGTTAATGGCCCGCGAAAATTCAGCGTGGTCTGGCGCGAACCACTTGCTGAACCTGACGACCCAGCAAACGCATGTTTGGCGTTGACATGGTACCTCAAGCTTGAACAGCTCTGGTGAAATTGAAACTGCTTGTTACAAATCTTGCAAATAACCTTGTACTTGTTAACTGTACCATCATCATTCTTTTTATATTTGAATCCGTCAATAGGCCCACTTTGCTCACCTTGCTCCATCTCGCCTCTAGCTCCCGTCCCAACCACTTTCCTGACCTGAATAATTTGTCACACTGCGCATGCGTGAAATGCGTTAAAAAAATTGACGTAATTAACGACAAACAACGAATTAACGTCGTTAACGCGCTATTTTTGACAGCCCTAATATAAATATGAATTAGTAGTCCAACAGAGTTCAAACAACAGTGCACGGAAGCTAGCTGCTGAGAAGCGCAAGTGAAGATAAATCAAGTTGTAATCCCAAAAACTAAGGTAAAAAGCAAATTTAATAAAAGCAGTTAACTCTCCCGTGGGTAAACGGCATAGTTGTCAGAGCAGAATTCAGACCGACTACGGGTGTTTGTGTCCAAAAGCTGCAGCGTTGCTCCCCGTACACATCCCCGTTCTTTAGCAGCTCTCTCTGTCGACCAGCAGATTGTCATTACACTGCTCGCCAGGTCCTCTCCAAACAACACTCCAAAGCTGCCGGTGGCGTTTAGACAGTCTCACAGCTGATAGGCTTTTACAACATCGCGTCAAGGAAATTGCTCGCCCAAGTTGAAAAATTTGAACTCGAGCGAACCAGCGAATGTCGCGAAAGACCCTTTGCATTGACTTGTATGTAATCAAGCCGACCAAAACGCTGGATTCACTTTCAGTGTGTGCCATGTGTGATGGGTTATGAATCTGTTTTTGTCTGTTAATTGTTCCAATTGTGTTATGTTGTTTTAGTAAAGATGATATAGAAGTCACCCTTGTGATCTCTCACTCTCTTTACAGTAGCTGCTATAACTTGATGCAGTGGTTCTCAGAGGACCTTGAAGGGGCTCCAGGGTGTCCCCAGCAAAAAGGGGAATCATTTGTTTTCTATATACATTCCATCCATAACACAATAAAAAACATATGACTATTTTGTTCATGGATTCCATAACTGTTCTGTAATAAAACATATAAAAACAAAAAAAAATCCTATCAGATGGGAGAAACTGGGGGAAAAAATCGTATCAAATAGAGGTCCGTGGTCTAATTTGTCAGTTTAGGGGTCCTTCACAGGAAAAAGTTTGAGAACCACTGACTTAATGTTCACAGCACATTCAGCCAGTCAGTATGTCTATGGTACAGTCTGTCTCCATTCTCAAGAGTAAACAGCATTATGAGTCTGAATAGGTAGTAACTCTATATATGCTTAATGAAATATTAAGTATTTATAACATTTATAAAAATGAATGACCATATTTTACAAAATATTTGACTGGAATGCAGTGTAAGCAAAAATACACTTAATTTCAAAAGGCTACAGATGAAACTGGCAAGGTGAGAATAGGAATTACCTTAAACAATAGTTTTTTTTATTCACTTTATTGAAAATTTACCATCAAGCCTCTTCAAACTTATTTTGTCAGTTTCACTGTCTGCAAATGTACATACACGGGGCAACTTTTTGAGCAATGTTGCTGGGCAATCTTGCTAGTGGCAAGTCTGACTATGTTTTGAACGGATAGCGGCGGTGCAGGGCGGGTGGCGGAGTGGTGGGGGGAGGGGATTACGGTAGTAATCTTTACTCATTACCATTGATGACAACATTGCCCTGCACGATTGCTCTAAAAGTTGCTCTGTGTATCATTAGCTTTAAGCTTGACAGAAGCTGACACTACAGAAATTTATTTAATTGAATTAAGTAGCACCGGCCACCCGCGGGTAAATTGGTGGTGGTGTTGGTTAAAATTGTCGGGCCATTCTCCGCTTTGACGGTCGGGAAAAATGCACAACTGAAAGACACGTGTAGTAAGGTAAGCGTATTGTGGTGATCAGTCCCTACGTCACACACACAGCTAGGGTGACCAGACGTCCCAAAACATTTGGGACAGTCCTGAATCACGAGAAGTTGTCCCGACTCCTGTCCCAAAAATTAGACTTAACATGGGTTTTGATTACAGCCTAATTAATCATAAAATACTGATCGTTTTGTAGTTCTCTTGCTCCAGCAGGGGTTACAGGTGATCTGTACATTACGTCAACAGCATTGTTATAGCCACAAAGTAACCCCTTTTTGTTTTCTTGTGGTTAGTGGAAGTTACAGTCGCCATACAGTCGGCAGAGAGATCTTCAGTTCAATTCAATTTTACTTATATAGCGCTAAATCACAACAACAGTTCTCATAGCGCTCATAAAAGAGCCGGTCTAGACCGTACTCTAAATGAATAAAACAAAAATAAAAATTAGGTAAAAGATCATGATTTCCCACAGTTGTTGTGTTTTTCCTAATGACAGACAGGTGACTTCATGAACAAAAATAATTAATTTTAGCGTTGTGTTCTTTGACACTGAATGTACCGGTAGCACCGCTGTTTGAGGTCAGAGTTTTGGGTGAAACATTTTGTGAATTTCCGAGTGGGTGAAACAGAGTGAAGCATTTCCCCGTTAAAAAAGACGCTGTGTGTAATTACGCAAAGGGCACAGCAGCATTTCTTCATATTTAAATCTCCCGACAGCCTGACAAGATCAGTCAGAATATAATCTATTTTGTGTTCTACACATCCAAAAGGTCTCAAACACAGTCCAGTTCATACAGTGAAACTGTTTTGAGTAAATCAGCCGTCCTGCTGATCAATCCTAAGCTTCATCAGAGCATCTAAATTATTTCAGAAGCTAAATGTTGAATTATTTTTCCTCTGCAGAGTTTCCTCTGTCTGTCGTGTTAAGTTTATACCTACAGTTGTTAGTTTTGCTGCATAAATGTCCCACAGTATTTGCTGTGACATTACTGCGCCCATGGAAATATTTAAAATGACTGACAGCAGCCTCTCAATGTAATCATGAAAGTAAACCGTTAAAGAAAACTCATACATCAACACAATAAAGAAATCACCTGGAAAGTTAAAAGGACCGGTAGAGGTGGGATAAAATCATTAGTTGGGTTGAGGGTCGGTGGATGATTTGAGCGCATATGATTTTTCAGATACTGTAAGAGCCGATTTGCGCATCACACCAATGTAGCTCCTATAATCATGACAAAACAGTGCAAACAGCTGCTGACGTCAAATCATTAGACTGGAATATCAAGAGCATCCCCTACATTAAGCACTAACCTGCTGGATTTTATGCTGTCATATAGTAACAATAGTGCCCATTATGTAGTCTGCTCATGTAATTTGCTCACAGTGTTCCTCCCTGTCAATAGGGGGTGCTGCAGCACTTTCCGCATCCCCCTTCCTGCACGCACGCTTGCTAGCCTGCCTACTATTTTAATTGAGAACAAAAAAAATCTAACTTTAAAAAAATATTTTTACAGACTTTTGTATAGTGATCTACTGTCATGATTTATTTAACATGTGCAAATCATTTTTTTTACAACCTCAAACCAGATTAAGCCTTACACACACCCCTGTGATCTTGATGGGTGTGCGGACCAAAGCACGAATATACCCTGGAGCGGACGCGCACATGGACACTTGCGGACCCCATAGACGTGGACTACTTCTGTTTATGTTACTTTCTGGAGTCAGCTTAGTGGACTCGTTCCACACATGCGCTGTAGATCGGTTGGTGCCCTGGCGGTGGACCTGTCTCTGATGACAATTTGTTCATCATTCGGACCCTAAAAGAACCCTTGCACACTCACAGACGCGGAAAGTATAATTCTTGCCTTAGAAGATGTGAAAACGATGAATATTTTACAAGCACACACCAGGTAAAGCAACAGTGAATACCTGCTGTTGCCTGTACCATGATGGTTTCGATAGGCTACGTCATCAACAAGCCTCCTCCATATGCAGACAAAGAAAGTCAGCAGAGCAGAGACATACAGGGAGAGACAAACAGAAATGCGCAGGGCAAGTCGGTGTGTTTGCAGTGACAGACCAGACGTGTAGGTGTGTGTGTGGGGGGGGGGGGGACTGCAAGGGAAAGGCAAGGTGAGCCAATTCAAGTACTTTGTGAGTAAACACTAAAACAAGGTGGAGAATTATATTGAATTTAAATGGTGAACTAAAACTAAAAAAATAAATAACCACCCCCGTTGCCACAGTTACACCTGTCATTCTCTGGGAAACACTGGACTCTTAAAATGAGGCTAAAAACTTTTCTGCTTGCCACTGCCATTTATGAAACTGAGCTTCACTTCATTGCAATTTTTTTTCTATTGCTTCAGTTGTGTTTAATCTATTTTTGTAGTTGTTGTTTTTTTTTACATTATATAGCCTATTTGTTTTTATACTGCCTTGTGTATCTTTTATAACTTTGTTCTGTCTTTTCATATATCATGTGAAGCACTGTAACTTTTTTTGTTGAAAGGTGTTCAATGTGTAGTTTGCATTGTCAACTTTATTAAACTTTTTAGGGTGAAGGTTCTGGAGTGAGAACAAAGTTACCTACTGATATTTACTCACTTTTTGCAGTCCAAAGCTCTTGCATACTTCAAAGCAAGATCCAGACCCTGTCTGAACTCTGCTTCTCTTCCAGGAACTGCTCCAAGACCAAGATCACCTGCCTTTACATTTCCTGTAACACACACATCGTCTCATTCCCACCGCCATCATCCGCTAATCATTACTAGCATTTCAGTATCAGTGCTGTCTGGGTGTAATGAACCTCAGTGTGGTGGCAGGACTGTTTTTACCCGGCGGGGTGTTGATGAGGACCACCTCCACTCCTGCAGCCTCCCTGGCCATCTGAAGCTCGTGCAGGTCGGAGTCGTAGAGCCAGCCTGCCTCCACAGCCTGAAAGCCAGCCGAGGCAGCCGCGTAGATTCTCTGGCTGAAATCTGGAAGCTCAGTGAACAGCCAGGAAATATTCGCGCAGAACTTCAGCGGAGCCATTCTTGTTTGAGTGCAGACGCCAACGACCCTGCGTCCAGTCTGTGTGCTGCACTTTGACCCTGCTAACAGCGGATGCGTCAAGTTAGCTAACGTTACAGTTAGCCGGAGGTAAAGCGGAAGACAGAAGGGTAAATTTCCAAAACAAAACTGTAACGTAAGACATGATTTACATCTATGGAGCTGTCATTTAGCAAACCGGGCAGTTCTGTTACAGCGTTATAGCCGATGAATAGACTACCATCAAATTAATGTACAGCCATTTATATTAAACTGGTTAAGGGAAAAGTGTGAAATTACGCACAGACTGGAGAGTTAACTTAGCAATGCTGGGGAAAGGACTAAAAAATAGTTATTTACTTCCATTTACTTTCATTCTTCTAGCTTTGCTAATTTGTCATTATTGGGTTTCACAAAACGTTTTAGTTTGAAAATATTAACAGAAGTAGCAGGTTTACAGTGTCTCACCTGACCATTGTTATTGTCACATGACCACATGACAAGAAGCATGCTTCCTGGCCTGTGAAATGAGCAATGTATGAAGTCTTAGTACATTCATGTGCAGGAGTTTTTCTCCACTTGTCACATTTTTTTAATACAAGGTGGTCTTGAATATTTGGGGTTTAATACCAGGTCAAAATAATACAGTCAATATTAATAAATAAATAATGTTTATTTAGATTGCATTCTAAAAATCCCAACATATTTATTTAATTCTGCTTGTGACCGTTCTGGCCTAAAAATTAGCGAGGGACCTGGATGCAGACCGTAGCCTGTATAAAAGAAGGACGTAGCCATTGTGACATCGCCTCGAGTTTGGCTTTTGGTGGTCGCCATCTTGTCTGTTTTAAACCAGAAGTAGGTGCACTTTAATTCACATTAGCTGTGATATTTATTGGGATGCTAACTTTGGCATAAAATAAAATGTACTTACCGGAATAAATGAACAGGTGTAGCAGCATGGGGTAAGAGACCATTGCTGTGTTAATTGACAGGAGTGGGCGGGGTCAGTAGATTGCAGGTATTGATTAAACAGGAAGCAGGAAGGTATAAATGGTGGCATGGCCACTTCCTCTTCCTGCTATTGACACCAAGCACTGCCTTCATTTATCAGTGTTGGCTGAATTATATTTCTTGGTGAAATTCCCCAGGTGGAGTATTTAATAATGTCTTAGAAATTCGCAGTAGGGTTAAAGCCAGGCTCCTTAGTGAGAGCTGCAAACGATCCGCCTCGCTACACAGGCAACTCCAACTCCTTAAGCTGTCTTTTAGTACCACTGAACAAGACATTTTTATCTTTCATAAATTGAAAACACAACACTCCTAGACAACATTGACAACACCCAAAAACAAGTTCATGGTTAGTTAAATGTAAATAGCCACCTGTTTTACTCTAAATGGGACCATAATTTACAAAACGGACATCATAGGCTATTTTATTGATTAAGACCACCTGGGTGATGCACGGCAGCCATTTGTGCCAGAACGCTTACCACACATCATCCTGAGAGGCAGGAAAACATAGAGCCAGTTACACGGGGGGATGATTAGATGGCCAGGTGGAGAGAGCCAGACCACAATGAGTCAGGACCTCGGTTTAACATCTCATCCAAAGGACGGCATCTCCTACAGCACAGCGTCAATGCGGTGGGGGATTGCAATTTATTTTAAGGACCAGAGGGAAGACTGCCCCCTAATCGCCCACAACACCTCTTCCAGCAGCAACTTGGTTTTCCCTGGAGGTCTCCCAGTACTAACCTGCATAGCTTCAGCAGAAAATGGGTACATGTTGGTATGGCTGCCAGTGCGTGCATAAGCATGTACACGTGCATGAACGTGCAATGCACTTAAGGATCCCAGTTTGGGGGGTTGAGAATATGGTCACCCAGAGCTGCTAGCATGGCTGTAGAACCTTTCCCTTGTTTATTATTGTGCCTTGACTTGAGCCCATTTAAGATCTCCCTTGACTTCAATTGTGATTGGTCATGGAACTGTCTCAGATTCAACTTAAGCCACTGTGCTTCTTACACCAAACTGGCTGGTACTAACCAACTGATTGACCAAATCAGTCTGAGAGTGCCATTTTTCAGTGTAGTAATTCTTATAGTACGGCAAGGCAAGTTTATTTGTATAGCACATATCATCAACAGCATCAGTGTCAATAAATTATATTTAAATACAATTTGAAAAGAGTTAAATAGAAAATAAAAACAAGATACAACAGAAGAGTAAAAGTTATAGTGCAGTGTAAGATATTAATCAAAAGCCTCAAAGTTGATTCAGTAAAAATGCTACAAACTAAAGTCTTCAGCCACTATGAAGACCTCAGAACTGGAGTGATTTGATGGCCTTTTTTGGTCTTAGTAAGGACTCAAGAAGCAGTGTTCGGAATCAGATACCACTTGATTTTTAGGGAGACCGCTATAGTAGTCCAGTCGACTTAAGATAAATGCATTGACAAGTTTTTCCTAATAAGTCCTTAATTCCTTCATATATTCTTCAGGTGATAGTAGCCTGACTTTGTAATTGTCTTATATACAGGTGCTGGTCATATAATTAGAATATCATCAAAAAGTTGATTTACTTCAGTAATTCCATTCAAAAAGTGAAACTTGTATAATGTATACATTCATTCCACACAGACTGATAGATTTCAAGTGTTCATTCCTTTTAATTTTGATGATTATAACTGACAACTAATGAAAACCCCAAAATCATATCTCAGAAAATTAGAATATTGTGAAAAGGTTCAATATGAAGACACCTGGTGCCGCACTTTAATCAGCTAATTAACTCCAAACACCTGCAAAGGCCTTTAAATGGTCTCTCAGTCTAGTTCTGTAGGCTACACAATCATGGGGAAGACTGCTGACTTGACAGCTGTCCAAAAGACGACCATTGACACCTTGCACAAGGAGGGCAAGACACAAAAGGTCATTGCTAAAGAGGCTGGCTGTTCACAGAGCTCTGTGTCCAAGCACATTAATAGAGAGGCGAAGGGAAGGAAAAGATGTGGTAGAAAAAAGTGTACAAGCAATAGGGATAACCGCACCCTGGAGAGGATTGTGAAACAAAACCCATTCAAAAATGTGGGGGAGATTCACAAAGAGTGGACTGCAGCTGGAGTCAGTGCTTCAAGAACCACCACGCACAGACGTATGCAAGACATGGGTTTCAGCTGTCGCATTCCTTGTGTCAAGCCACTCTTGAACAAGACACAGCGTCAGAAGCGTCTCGCCTGGGCTAAAGACAAAAAGGACTGGACTGCTGCTGAGTGGTCCAAAGTTATGTTCTCTGATGAAAGTAAATTTTGCATTTCCTTTGGAAATCAAGGTCCCAGAGTCTGGAGGAAGAGAGGAGAGGCACAGAATCCACGTTGCTTGAAGTCCAGTGTAAAGTTTCCATAGTCAGTGATGGTTTGGGGTGCCATGTCATCTGCTGGTGTTGGTCCACTGTGTTTTCTGAGGTCCAAGGTCAAAGCAGCCGTCTCCCAGGAAGTTTTGGAGCACTTCATGCTTCCTGCTGCTTACCAACGGAGATGCAGATTTCATTTTCCAACAGGACTTGGCACCTGCACAGTGCCAAAGCTACCAGTACCTGGTTTAAGGACCATGGTATCCCTGTTCTTAATTGGCCAGCAAACCGCCTGACCTTAACCCTATAGAAAATCTATGGGGTATTGTGAAGAGGAAGATGCGATACGCCAGACCAACAATGCAGAAGAGCTGAAGGCCACTATCAGAGCAACCTGGGCTCTCATAACACCTGAGCAGTGCCACAGACTGATCGACTCCATGCCACGCCGCATTGCTGCAGTAATCAGGCAAAAGGAGCCCCAACTAAGTATTGAGTGCTGTACATGCTCATACTTTTCATGTTCATACTTTTCAGTTGGCCAACATTTCTAAAAATCCTTTTTTTGTATTGGTCTTAAGTAATATTCAAATTTTCGGAAGATACTGAATTTGGGATTTTCATTGGTTGTCAGTTTTAATCGTCACAATTAAATGAAATAAACATTTTGAAATATATCAGTCTGTGTGTGATGAATGAATATAATATCCAAGTTTCACTTTTTGAATGGAAATACTTAATAAATCAACTTTTTGATGATGTTCTAATTATATGACCGCACCTGTAATGTGCTTGTTGAAACTTGAAACTTGTGGTCCATGACCACACCAAGATTTCTGGCTTAGTTTATTTTTTGGGCTTTTGCCTTTATTTGATAGGAGCAGTTGAAGAGAGACAGGAAATGTGTGGGAGAGCGAGGGAATGAGAGGAGACGGAATGTTTTATCTGTGTTTAATTAAAGAAAATTCAGGCACATCCATGCATGGATTGGGATTAAAGTCCTCTAGTGACATGGTTTTGTACATTTGAGTATTGAATGATTGACCAACCGGTCGAGGCAGATGGCCGCCCACCCTGAGCCATGGTTCTGCTCGAGGTTTCTGCCTCTTAAAAGGAAGTTTTTCCTCGCCTCTGTCGCCTAGTGCTGCTCTTGGTGGGAATTGTTGGGCTTCTGTAAATAGCATCATAGAGTACGGCAGAGGTCACTAATAGGCGGACCGCGGTCCGGATCCGGACCCAGCCGCCGTCCTCTCCGGACCGCCGACCTACAGCCCATTTATTATTGAGACTTACTACCTTGTGACGGAGCGTTTCTATTTTAACCCGCGCAGCTTTTCTAGCAATTACTGTACTGGTTTAGAGGACCAGGAAACTCACAGACCAATCGCATGTGCTCCAATCGTCTCATGTGACGCTGCTCAGCCAATCAAATCTGTGCATACCGTTGCTTGCGAGTCGAGTCCGCGAGATTCACCAGAGACGTTTTGGAAACACACCCGAATTGAGGAGACGAAAGATAAGAGATTTCACATGACTTTTAATCAAGAATGTACAGATTTTCACATGTACATTCCTCCCACGGGCAGTTCAAAACCAGAATATCTCATAGATCTCCAATATTCTAGCTGGAGCTCACGTTTCTCACTGAACAACAGAAAGTAGGAAAGTGGTAGCTCTGTAAGAGAAATGAAAGAGAAGAGGAGGCATTACAGC